CCCCTTTGAACAGTTTCGCCAGCCAAGTAAAAGAAAACTAAAATCATAGATAATCCATTGTCGGTATATGTTATAAACTTGCAAAATTTAAGAAAATAAACTGATAAACTGTAAGAAATGGAAAAGAGACAAAAGAAAAAAAACTTTTTTAGGAAATGATTCCCCCTTGTTGAGCCTCTTATCGAGTCAAAGGGAAGCAACTTGTGCAATTCAGTCGCTTCGGACAAGGTACTTCTCAGATAAAGTCTACGTGTTTCCGTTTGAGGCTTACTGATATATGAAGAAATTGCTTTAAACAGTACCAGTATTACTTGTTTCCTGATAATTCTTTGAATATTGTTGTTAGAAAAATGCGTTTTGAAAATTGATGAATCGTGGCCTTTGTACACCTTCTTCTGGGAATGGCCTAATGTTGTTTTTGTTTTGGTTCGGTTAATTCCTATATAACTTTGACATAATCATTACACGTAAATTAATTCGAAGACATGAAACATATAGTATATCTAATATAATATTGTGAATATATATTTATCTTGAAGAAATTAATACGCACGGTGATAGTAAATGAAGTTCACACACTAGTACTGCATCTGTACATATGCGATTTTCTGTGCCAGATACGCTTCCTTTGGCTAAAATTTATACTCTGAACTACAATAAAAGATATATTCTGTACTCTCTCAGTAATGCACCAAGCCAATTTTGCTTTGCTATTTGTCTACCAACTCAATCTTTATCTGGTGTTAAATAAAACCTCACGTCTTCTGCTGTTTGAAAAAAATGTAGATCGGACTCGGCATTCTTCTGGCCTGTGTTTACATTGATCCATGGTAACGATAAAGAGGTTAAGGCTCTTCGAAGGGAAATACATTTAAAATTTGCTTATTTAATTAGCACATATTTAAAATGATCCGATTTTTAAAGACAAAATCTGTGAACTGCAGTTAACGATGTCTAAACATTTCTTAAAGTGAAAACCATGTGTAGTAAATATACCGGGAAGTCTTTCTTAACTTTATTCGTTTATTTCTCATTATGACGTTGCATACGATAAGGTCGATTTCTATCCGACGAGGCTCATTTTTTTGCAAGTGGCAGCAATACGCTTCCGTAGAAAACTCAAAACTATACTTGTGTACAGTAAAATAAAACACAATGTCGATATGGAAGAGTGGGCATAAGAAAATACCTTGAGAACAAAGATTATGTTCTTCATGTAATACTATTGATGATGAATTTCGTTTCTACAGTGTAGCTTGAATATACAAGCAGGGAATATACTTATAAAATCTATGTAAGTTAATTGTTCCTCATTCTACCTCAAATCACCTACACAGGAACTTGAATATATACTAAGCCCAAAACTTGAAGTTATACCGGCTGTTTGCACTTTTATAAAACAATCACTAGAATTGAGAAACTAGAGTTTCTCTCTAATTTGACATGCAATTTTCTGTTATCAAAATTATCTTTGTCCAATGCTTGATAACTAAATGTTTTTTTTTAATAACATTACATTTGTTTCAGATTGCTGTAAAGTGTATAAAAAATAAGTATTTTCTTGAATTTACAATTTTTTATTAGGATATTGAAACACGCTTTTATTATGGGATAGTGTAATTTTATAGGATAAAGACTTTTTTTACAATGTCATTTAAATCAAAGGTTTCAGTGACCTCGAAATAGCTCTCAACACACCTTCAACATAAGATGCATAAATTGGCCAAAGATCATTCTAAAACTTTTGTAGTTTTCTACAAGTACATGTAGTAAATTATGACCCTGTATAGATTTATTGATCGAGTTTCCTGTCGTGAAAATGGGACAGGATTATTCCGTATTTAGCCATACATGTAGCATCTGGCTTTGAGCTACAGTTTGATTTTAAACGTTAGTCAAAATTTTGAAACCCCTTAATATCGAACGCGGGACGACCGACTTTATATAGAACGGATGGTCGACATGTCCCTTCATGGCTTTCGTACATGTTAACTTTTACTAGGGTTTTCAATGATTCTAATATACATGTAACAAAGAAGTCTAAGACTTGTTGATCTCGAATTAATTTTTACTTTTTTGAGAAATCGACGTGTCCCTTCATGGCTTTCGTAGATTACAGTATAGTCGCCCACTTTTCAAGCGGGGGGGGGGGGGGGGGGGTGGTATAAAAATTACTTGGACCGACGAATAAAAAAATTAATTGGCCGAAAAAAAGAGGTCAAATCAGGCAAGTCAGTGCAATGGTGAGAGGTCAAAATCAGGCAAGTCAATGCAATGGTGAACCGCAATTGTCGCCTGAGGCATCCAGTTTTGCTTCAAAAACCGTCGGTCATTGGTTGTTTTTGGAATGTGACGGGTTTTACGGAGATAGCCGAGCGTTTGGTTGAAACTATAAAAGACCAATTTAAATTTTTGACAACCGACAGGGTATACACTGAACCAAACTTCTAAGTGTTCACCTAACATTTTTTAAAGTTTTAATGAAAAATGCAACCAATAAATAATTTCTTTAAGTCATGGTTAATGGTGGATATTTCAGTTCGATGTTGCGTAAATTTCATTTAACTCTCTCGTCCGAATTTTAAGCAAAGTGTCAAGTAAATGACGTATACCCTCAAAATGAAAATTCACACAAAATAATCTTGATGGAGTAAGACCACCACTCGCTCTAATCACTGCAATACAACCTTTAATGTTGGATACCATGTACCCCTGAATAGGAGATTGACTCATCTCCTACTGCATAGATCTTTCAAAACCGTTGAAATAGTGTGAAATGGGGGGGAGGGGGGTCGACATTTCATATAAAAATTCCAAATATCCCAAATGATATAAGACTGTTACAAGCACTGATTTCTGCTCATTTTCATACGATTGAAATTCTTTATTTTCATGTTTCTAAGATTGTTTCAAAACAATTAAACACTGTTTAAACCTAGTGTGACGCGATTTTTTTTTTTGGCCTCAGACGAAGATCAAGGTCTCTTCTGATTTGATTATATTCTGTCCAAAGCTTTCAAATCGTGGTAAATTAGCGATGAAAATGACGCACAGCCTATAGAAAATTGTATCTAAATGGTTTTTGATACTGTTTATTAATTTTGAAAAGTAATATCAAGTACAATTACATGTATAAACACTAAAATAAAAGTGAGTAAAACGTGGCCCAGGGATGGTCCAGATATCAACATTCCAATAGCGCTCCCTTCTATCTCAATACTCATTTTGCAAATGTTTTGTGTTTTTTACTGAAACCAGTTTTTAAAATTTGATAATGATCACAAAAAGATGCTAATTATATATATATATATATATATATATATAGATATAGATATATATAGATATAGATATATATATATATATATATATATATATATATATATATATATATATATATATATATATATATATATATATATATATATATATATATCTATATCTATATATATATATATATATATATATATATATATATATATATATATATATATATATATATATATATATATATATATATATATATATATATATATATATATATATATATATATATATATATATATATATATATATATATATATATATATATATATATATATATATATATATGTTAGACTCCGCTCGCTACTAGGAAGTATTTATTCTTATAATATCATTGATTTTCATTTTTATGTCCCCGAAAATGAAGTTTCGGGGGTATATAGTTTTTGTCGTGTCCATCCATCTGTCTGTCTAGCTGTCTGTCTGTATGTCTGTCTGTCTCTCTGCGTGTTTGTCTGTTTGTCCACAAAAACTTTAACCTTGCCCATAACTTTTGATTTAGTGTAGCCATGACATTCATATTTCACATGTGTATTTCTTATGACAAGACCTTTCTTTGGGTACCACCAAATTTCATCTTTACCTTGACCTTGGAGTTTAACCCACTTTAACAGGAAAATTATAAACTTTTACTTTTTCCATATCTTTTAAACAGTTGATACCAGGACATTTATTCTTCACATATGTATTCTTTGTTGAAAGACTTTTCATTGGATACCATCAACCTTGACATTTTGACTTTGAAGATTTCTGTACTTGTAAAAAAAATTTAATCTTGGCCATAACTTGCGAACGGTAAGGGAATGGGCTTTCATATTTCAAACATGTAATCCTTGTGAGAGACCCTTTATTGGATACCAAGAAGTTAGACCCTTTGACCGTGACCTTTGAGTTTGACCTACTTTTAAAAAGCAAACATTGACCATAACTTTTAAAGGGTAAGGGCTAGTGCTTTCATACTTTACATATTTAATTTTTGTGACTAGACTTTCATTTGATAACAAGAACATTGACCTTGGCCTTGAAGTTTGACCTACTTTTGAAAAATTGTAACCTTGGCCATAACTTCTGAACGGTTAGGGCTAGGGCTTCCATCCTACTTTCGAATTTCACGATTGTTTTTCAGTGAGAATACCCTACATTTGGTACCAATTAATTAAATTTGCATTTAAGAAAAGTTTAATCTTTGCTATGTTGCCATACGGTGGAATCAGTGTTTCACAAACACATCTTGTTATAACTGTTGAAATATGATTAAAAATTTTTGTTATATCACACAGAAAATTATGAGTATTTTTAATTGTTAGAGACAAGAACTAATGCGTCAAAAATGTTGTTTAATACCTGGTCATTTAATAAAACAGTTATTGAATTTCAAATTTGGTCTACTTATACGCACCTGGTCAGTTAACGGTAACAGTCGACCATTACCTGTCGAGGTTTGCATAGTCATACATGTAAGTAGACCTCCCCAAAGTCAAGACATGTATTAAAGGTCATTGAACTTATATTGGTGAATATCTGTACGAGTTGGCTGCACAAATGCAAGACCTGGTGACTTTAAGTATTTTTTTTTATAAAAGACTATAAAACATAATATAAGAGAGCATATAAGAACCATAACTATAGGACTCACTTTCTTTTTAACATTATTATTACCAGGGTACATATCTTTTCAGTTGACCCGAGCGTAAGGGAGAACGTGGAACTCCTGTCCAGGACTGTTGAACGTATGGATTCGCCCAGGACTGTTGAAGATATGGACCACTGAATCATCTGGTTGGCGGTTTTACTAATATATATGTTAATACAGCTACAAAAATCATGTATTTACACCCACTTTTGAACTCAGTCAATAGATTCCTCAGTGATATTTCATGACATACCCTGTAAGTCTTCATTTTATTTTAAGCAACATATATATATATATATATAACTTTTTAAAACCTTGATTAATATCATTAGTAAATTGGCTAATTGTTATGTCAGGAGTGGTAAAAAATAAATTACGGGTGGTAGCGAGGGATTTCACTTTATATGAAGAAGATAATTAAACAGCCAAATTGCGAGCTATGGTTACCATATCTTAAAGAACGTGCAAGCATTGAATAAATTACTCCCTACAGTTATTATACATATTTTGTAAAAAGAAAGAAACAGTAATGTCGGATTTCCTTCTAATTGAATATACAATTATAGCCTTTTGATGAGGTCAATACATGTTTTTATGGACCTGATGAGAGTATATCGACCGAGGACGAAGTCCGAGGTCGATATACTCTCATCAGGTCCATAAAAACATGTATTGACCGATATCAAAAGGCTATAATTGTTTTATTATAATTGACTGAACATTTAAACAGTACAAGTATACAACAGGAAACAACATTTATTTATTTGATCAACAATATGTAAGTTGTAACATCTGTAACATCAAGAAAATGACAAAATTACTTTAAGCTAAAGGCTTATTCACTGTTTAGGTAGAATGTTGTAATTGATGGAAATGTTCGAACAGTTATACATTAAAGGGATTGGAAATTGGTTCCAAGCTTTCACATTGTTTTCTACTTTAAGCTGAGAATTTGTCGAAACAACGTTAACATTCTGAGGCATTTCAACGTTTTTCAAAAATTCATCGAAGCCATCATCAGTGCTCAACAGATCGGTTAATACGGCATTTTCTTGCGAATCAGTTAAAGGCAAGATGTCAAAGTTAGGGGTTGCAACATCTTGTACATTTGTAGAATCATCTTTTTTCAAACATTTTTCCCGAATCTTTTCGGAGATTTTCTCTGACATCACTTGTTTTGTGTTTTCATCTGTTATTCCCGAGTACGTTTTAAGGGATGATTCGGATTTGTGCCCAGTGACTGTCATAATATGCCTACTTGGAATTTGCGCAGCATCAAGAACATGTACAGTAGTGGCTCTGCATGAGTGATTGGTGTAAATGGTATTCAAACCAGCTTTTCTACTTATTTCTTTCATCATTGATCCAAGCTTATTATGACCGAGGGGTGAATTGTCGTAAAACACTCCATCCTTTTGAAAGATCCGGGCTTTTTGAAATAGTCGATCGCATTTTGGATTTAGTCTCTTTAGAAATTTGATGAAACTTCTTACTGGACATCTACTGCTCCCTGAAATGGAAAAAAATGCACATTTTTAATGTTTTGATGGTCAACAAAAATTATACAAGATATTCAAATAAAACATTCTTATTATTGAATCATTATAACATTCCTATTATTTCAAAACATCATTTCTTTTTTTTTTGCATGAACATTTACTTTTACTTAAAAAAAAAAAATTAATTCTATATATTTTTGGGGTATGATTTCTTCAATTTTTACCTTTGATTTCAGACATTCTGCCGTCGGACGCTTTATCATTATCATCCTGATGGTTTTTTGTTTTTTCATCTGTGGTTTTGTATACATACAGGATTCCATTTCCACTTGTTGTTACAGCAAAGTCATCCCTCCTTAAATTTGCTAAATTTTCTCTCCCCCTTCTTCCAAAATGTAACATAAGGTCAAGGAAAACCTGGCAATGCAAAGTAAATCTGAATTATGATTTTTGTAACTTAGAGCACTAACTGTAGGAGAGTTAAACAAATGTTTTGCTAATATTAAAAATACAGGCCTTCAATCTAAGCACATTAAATATACTAACCTTGTACTGAAGAAGCTGTGCGTCTTCAAGGTCTGAAGTCACAAAAGAGTAAATCTTTTCTAAGTCCTCATCAGTGATTGCAGGATAGTGTACCACATTACCAAGTCCTTTTCGCTTCATTTCTTTTGTCATGCTTTTAAAGGCCTTGTTAGATAACTTGAATTCGGTTCCCTTTAGAATGTCAACACTCTTCCCACCCTTTTCAAGGTGCCGCTGTATACCATGTCTATATGCAATTAGAGTACTTTTCCTATACATTTCACCTTTTTTGTTTCTCATTTCGCAGTAAAATGTGGACAGTTTTTCATCGAGCTCAGCTGAAGAAAAATATCAAAGTCAGCCGACATATTTTTCGCGGTTAAATATTCCCTAAATGCTTTTACAGCTGTGATGGTTGATTTTTTCGTGCTATCAGAATCCACATTGTCGAAAATTTCTTTCAATTCTTGTTCATTAAGAGTGGCAAAGCGATTACTGTGATTAGCCATCCTTTCCTCGCAGGCACAGTTGCAAACAACAATAGTTAGGCGAACGCATTATCAAAGCTAAACAGTGATTGGCCGAAAAAACACGTGATATCCAATCAAATCAAAGCTAACTTACAGACAGTATAGAAATCTATTTTAAGTATAGCAGGGTTTATAAATTTTCTATTTTTAGTATAGAAGGGTTTATAAAATTTATTTTAGGAAACATCTGGTTTATAAGTGTTTTATAGCAGAATCACGTGGTATTAATCGACTAATCATAGATTTTGAATAATATGATATTATAATAATAGTTGGTAAAGGACAATCTTTTTATACTATGTATGATGAAACGGTCAATATATTTTTGATTCGCTCCTCTGAAAAGTATTTGGCCATTTAACTTTTATTATTGACCGACAAATAAAGTTTTCCTACATTATTTTTATTTTGCTACATTATTTTGATTTTGATTCCGATTAGAAGATTTAAAAGTTTTATTAGTTTATTGTGATCGCGTCACAATTCACGCCTACTCCAAATAGCACAATCATAACAACTTGAAGATTCGGTAGCGCTACACTATTAACGTTCAGAATAATGCATTGTATACAAATAAGTTGTTGAATTTTGATTATGGATTTAAAATATTATTTCAATAATTTATTTTTCCTATATAAACCGTCTTATCGTGTGTTCGAGGAAAGTCCCCCAGAGAAAATTAATTATATATGTTAGTTTCTTTTTGTTTAATTGTACATAACTTTAAACAACAGTTATAAATATGACAACTAATAAGATTATGTATTTCTAATATATGTATTGCTGAGGAATCTATGGACTGAGTTCAATCTACATTCACATATCAAGTTTTATCAAATAACAAAACTTTTTATGTAAACATGTAAACTTGTTTCATTTCAATGTACATTCGATAAGATTATTAAAGAGGCTGGGGGTCAACAAATTAACCACAAATTAATTACCAGATTTAACTTATTTCTTTTTTTTTTAGATAAGTTATTTTAAGCTGTCAACTTTCATTTGGCAAAGAAAAAAATCATACATTTTAGTTTTAAAATTTGATCATTTCTGTAAATCTTTATATGGAGCTCTTCTTTTAAAGAAGATCGAAATCGTCTGAAAATGGCTTCCACCCCAGCCTTTTTAATCTATCACTTTTGTAAAATTTGATAATGTTGGACAATTTCATAATTTGTGTGTACGATTCAGATAGAAACAGTCAAAACAGAACTATTATGATCTTGAAGTAGTTGATTTGATCAGCTTGTATTCTCAACTGTTCAACTATTATCTATATCCTTACATAATTACTATTAACTGAATATAAACGAAATTTTACTCCAAGTTTAAATAATTTTCTTTCATTTTATTACCAGTTTAGCTTGGACGACGATTTTTTTTTTATTTTCACGTATTCAGAAAGTTAATGATGAAATAAAAATTTCAAACTCTACCGTTGACTCACTGTACAAACATGTACCAGCGTGAACGATGAAAAAGCAAGCCTAAGTTAGATGAAGAAAATACACTGTAAGAAACCCATCTGAAACAAAACCTTCCGAACCCCAATCAAATAAAGTAATGATAAAAGATGAAATTCTACATTCATTTTATGAAAGCATTCGTCTGTAAGAATACCTATAAACGTAAATAGTTTTGTAACACATGTTAAATAATTTTAAACATGAAATATAGGGGGTTCCAAATTAAGAAAAGTCTTGCATGGATTCCAACAAAATTTTCATACAAATATTAAAGCTGCAAAATTTATTTTTACAATTCAATCAACAAGAACTTTTTGTGTTCACCTCCTGTTGCTGGCATTTCTTTTTCAATTAATTTCTGCTTATTTACACATAGATGTATTAAATATTGTTGAAATATTGACTTTCCATCTTCACTTATTATGACTATGGAATTGATTTAAAAATCTTTGAGATATTCGTTTTTTACTCTGCGATTGTCTTAACTAATACTTGTATTTTAATTTTCTAACCCGGTGTTGATTGTCAAATTTTATCTTTTCTTAGTCTAAGTTTGCTTCACAGAGTTTTAATAAACAATCATTTCAACACATACCAGTGTAAAGTTATATTTTACTAGTTTACTTATTTTAAAATTATAATTACAATAGGTTACTGTTTTGTATTGCTTGATGGGAGAACCATAAAGGTAACTAGAGCAAAGCTCGTTCCAAAACAAGTTTGTCTATTTTTTTTTATTACTGCATGAATACAGGATTAATGAAGCTAGATGTAAGCCATTCAATGTTAAACACAGATTCTTGCACGTCTGCTTCATATTAGGATATATTTCACTAGCAAATCATTAATAGAAGCCTAAGAAAAAAAACTGTATGATAAGCGTGGTAACTTCAAGTTTTCTATTACCAACTTTCCCTATTGCCAACTTTCCCTATTTATATTATAGAACAAGGAGTTATCAACAGTCTTTACAAAAGTCAATATTTCGCGGTCTATAGGGTCGATACAATGACATTGGCAATCTATCAATAAGTCAACTGTTTTTCATAAAAATTGTTGATCATTACTTTCATACTAGATTGTCTACGAATTTTCAATTTTCTCCATCATGACAAGGAGTAGGCCGCAAGTGTGGTAGGTCGACGGGGAATGTTTGCTCTCCCATGACATCTGATCCCATCACTGATGTTTTAGAAATTCTTGTTCGATCTGCTCCAAATTTGAATTGTTTACAGGACTTTTGAGCTCTATTGGTTACTGTTGATTATCTTCATATTTACATGTATTTCATTCAAGCTTTTTAGAACACAATCGATCAAATTTTGATATTATATTATCTTCTTCAAAGATAAGATAAACACAGCATGACATTGATATCAGACTTAGAGAGGCAAATTATACGAGGCACTCACTTATAGAATTGTTGCTGATATTGTTGTGATATCGATCGTTGGTGATAATTGTAAACATTAAAATACAAATAAATACTCTTATAC